GAAAAACCATGACAATATAATATGCATAAGACAGAATGAAAAAGGTAAAATACGAATATGAATGCAACAAGAATGGGAAAAGAGGAGATAAATAAGAATTTTGAACTAACACTTTTCAACACAACTGAGTCGATTAAGGAAAGAATACCTTTTATGAAAGAATTTAATACCTACAATTCAGCTAAAATAATTAGGTATCTTAAGAAACAAAACAATTCAACTAGTGTAGTCCTAGGTTAGGTTAACAGATACATTATTTCACAAGACAATCTAGAAAAGAACCATTGACTTATTTAAAATTTGAATGAATAGATTCATATTACGTCTATGTTCGATTGAAAAACGACTAACTAATATCAAAAAAATAATGGGATTGTATGTATCACTTGCCTATTGAAACAACTGAAAATCTTGAAACGAACCAATATACAACAAATTACTAAATTTTTAAACTCATCAACAAACACATGCACACAACAAGTGCACGACATCACAAACAATACCATCCAGATAGAAGACAATTCAAGATTTAATACAACACTAAAATGTAATGATGTGGACAAAAATTATAATGATGTCAGTGATAAACGGTTACTGATGTGTCACTCCGCATAAACACATTAGTCGTAGATACACTGTTTAATGTCGCCTGTTAGTTGACACTGAGATTCTAACAATCAGAGTGACATTTACAGGCATTTTAAGCATTCCAACAAAATGAACAATAGATTTATGCTTTCAAGCCATGGTAACTTTATCAGAAGTCAGTTTGAAACGTTATCCAGAAGGTCATTATTTTTTGCATAAACAAGATATATAAAACACTAGACTGACATTATTCTCACTTACGTTCATGCAGTATCTCTCATGTCGGACACACACCAGCATATCAAAGTACTATAGCAACACGTAACTAGTCATTTGTTACAATAATTCTAGTTAACTAGCATAACTGATATCACGGTTTTAAAAGAGCTTTCGACTCACATTATATATTACAGCTTCTTATAGGCAAATTCTTATCTTACGGGATAAGAAAAACCTTATGCTTGTTTGGTTTGAGTTTTTCTTCAACCAACGATACCAAATAGTCAAGATAGACTCCTCCTTGTCGCATGCCGTCTTGGACAGAAGTGGCGTAATACAAGGTAGTTTCCTATGTCACTTGTTATTTATAGCTTATATTAATGATATTTGTGATTGCTTCTTTGTAGGGAAACCTCATCTCTATGCAGATGATCTTAAAGTAGTGTATTCATTCTCCCCCCCCCCCTATGAGCTAGACAATATGTAAAACTGCATCAGTATGAAGCTCAATCAAGTGGCCCAGTGGTGCTTAAAATGAAAGTTGGAACTTAACACTGTTGACTGTGGATGCATCTGCATTGGTAGTACTTTAATCCACCTAGACCTTACAAAAAAATAGTTAGGTACTATCCAAGCTTAATACAGTAGTTGACCTAGGACTTAGGTATTACTACAGTCCATCCTTCTTAGAACACGTATGCAAACAGACCTCCAAGTAACAGCGTCTTCTGAGTTGTGAACTTCATGACATCTATGAGTATGAGTCACGTATTTTAATGTACAAACTGTATGTTCGACCACTCCTAGAATACTACAGGTTTATGCTTGGTAGTGTTCACACGAGCAATAAATTAAGGTTGAAACCCGTGCAAAGAAGCTTTACACTTTACATTCTTGGATCTGAACAGGAGACTCAAACTAAATCTTGTCTTTTTCTTCAAAGTACTTAATGAGCTTTCTTTTACATTCAATGACGCAACTGAATATGCAGAAACTTCAAGTTATAGCTTTTGTAACTCTCTGTCATTAGTAATACTATCTCATTTTAAAGCTTCGCTCTGTATAGATTACTTTACCATAGATGTTTACGTCTCCTCAGAAAATCCTTTAAATGTTCTTGCAACTGCACGTATATCCCATTTTACAAGTGAGACTATAGGAACTGTAAATGTTTAATCGCTTTTATTACTGAGATCATTACTAAAAACCTCCTGATGTACAGATACTTTACACTAACACTATCCCTTGTAAATTTAATTGATTTGGTAGCATCTAACCCATTCATTAAGTCATGGAGTGACGATAAACAAAACCAGTCCACGACATCACAAACAGCATAAACAATACCATCCAGATAGAAGACAATTCGAGATTTAACACAACACTAAAATGTTATGATGTGGACAGAAAAAAAAAATAATGATGTCAGTGATTCACGGTTACTAATGTGTCACTCCGCATAAACACATTAGTCGTAGATTCACTGTTCAATGTCGCCTGTTAGTTGACACTGAGATTTATAACAATCACAGTGACATTTACAGGCATTTTAAGCATTCTAAATGCAATCAAATTAAACGTTAACTGAACTAATCTCTTATATTAAATATATTTATTTAGTGGACCAGTCACTCAAAATAAATAAACAAGTACAATGTAGATAATCGCATCACCCACTTAATATATAAAAAAAAACACAATTGAGACAACGAAACGAACATTAATATTACGCTTGCAAGCCAAACAATTAGTATACATTAGTAAGAATATTTGTAAGTAAATTGATTTACGTATTCATTAGTTCAACGTACCAGAAGAACACGTTGTATAAGTCGAGATTTTGCCCAACAACGAAGAACACGCAAACGTCTTGGAACATTTTGCGTTGACTTACCATCAGATGCTAAGTATGCAGCTGTTTGTGCAGCTAAAGCAAAAAGAAAAAAATAGAGATGTGTACATATATAAAGCTTGAACAAGAAAAATAAATGACAAAGTTATTCATTTTGTTTATATTATCATATAAATAATAGAGTGATGATATGATGATCATAGAGACCTTGAATGACATGGCTCAAAATCGTTCGCAATGGCGCCGGTGTTCTCTCAAATCTTAATCTTCTGGGTTCTTCAACACCTCTAGTTTTTACTTTCTAAACTTATCTCATTGAATCATACTTCGTGAATAATATCTTCTAATTCTAACCTCTCCGATTACTTCTAATACCTTTACTACCTCTTCTACTATTGGATTTGAATTGACAATTATATCTCTGTGCTGATGTTGTATGGCAACATGAACTGATGTACTTACGTACGAAGTTCTACGTTGCAACTGACTGACTGACTGATGATGATCATAGCAGTGATTCAAGAAGCGTTAGTGAAAATTTTGATGAAAATTGTAACATAATATAATATTTTTTACTGTTTACGACCAAAATTGACGATCATCTGTAATCGTTGAATAATGATTTTAAAGCTAAAACCCGTACTGAAATAACAAATAAGCTAGCACAGAGAAATCAATCCATTTTGATTAATTTGTGAAAAGAAATATTTTGGATTGAAGCCTAAAACAAAATGGAGAAATCAAGATGTATAAAAATTATCCTGGTATTTCTTTTTCTCTCTCTCTCTGTCTTGCTAAAGACTACACTAACTTCAATATATATTCCCACAATAGGCATAAGTTTAAATTGAGCTGAAATACGGTTTACAACAGGACAGATGAACGAAAGTAATTAGTAGAATATTCTACGCAGCCAAACTTGTGTTGACCTTCTCGAGTCGATCACAGATGTCTACCTAAACGAAGGATAAGTTACCTGAGTTGGCCTCCTCTATGTACATTTACAAATTCAGCTGCTCCTGTGGAGATAGTAATATCGAACCTACTACCAGGCAACTTAACCAACGAATGAGTGAACACCTCCCAGAATGGTTTATGAAGTGCCAGTCAAAAATAATACGCAGTTCGATCTTAGCACATCTGGTTGATAGTGGTCATATTGTAGATAAGTCTAGATCGTTCCGAGTGATCTATCGTAAACCTCTATCATTTCCCAACGAAGTTCAATCCCGTCTCCTAGACATAAGAGAAACCATAGGAATTCGCACATTCAACCCCAGTTTATGTTTTCAGAAGAAACTCGTGACGCCGCTATCTCTTCCGTGGCCGGATATGACTTAACCAACGTTTTACAAGTTTTAAAAATTTTATTTTGTTATTATTAGCATTATTTTCACATCATGTGTTTGTTTGTAATTTTCTGTCTCTTCCCGTTCATATTATTTACTATCTAATTATGTACGCATTGCTTAATGCGTAATGGTTTTGATGTTTTGTAATGATTATTTAAAGTCCATTTATCCACGTTTGACCTTTATTTTTCTAACTACTATTAGTACACCTGTCTTCCTACTATCAACTTGTACTTTTGTCTGTTATGTGTAGTGACGTAATCTATATTTTATTTCATTGTGATTATTGACTCAAATTACCTTGATTGGTTTAATATTTTCATATAAATATTCATGTATATCATAGTAAAGCCTGATGACAATTTAATCGAAAACAACACTTTTGTTCACGTATATATGTGTTGTTCTAATTTTCCCAATCTTTGGGAATCTTTAGTATACAGCATAAATGTTAGGGCAGGTAAAATGACAAGAAACAGTGAGAATGTGAAAACAATAATGGTAATTTGTAAAAAATTATTATTTTTTTTTAGAAAAAAATCCATAATTTCTTGAACGCTTTCAACTGTACTTTAGTTATAATTTGCCTAAATGTAACATTTTCCTACAAAATAGTGATAATGTTTGAAATAACTCAAGTCAAACTTTTAACAAATAAACACACATGTATCATGTTAATATGTACTGCAATGTGTTTCACTGGTGGTGACCAATGTACAAAAATTACTTATCTTAATAGTTGGTTGGTGGGGTTAAGTAAAGAAAGTGAGACTTTGTTAATCAATGAGAATAGTGTGGATGAGATTAGTTTTTGTTATTGACATCAAACAATGAAAACGAGATAACCAAGTTAGTTAGTTAGTTAGTTAGATGCAACGTAGAACTTCGTACGTAAGTACATCAGTTCATGTTGCCATACCACACATCAGCACAGAGATATAATTGTCAATACAAATCCAATAGTAGAAGAGGTAGTAAAGGTATTAGAAGTAATCCGAGAGGTTAGGATTAGAAGATATATTTCAAGAAATATGATTCAGTGAGAAAAGTTTAGAAAGTCAAAACTAGAGGTGTTGAAGAATCCAGAAGATTAGCATAACCAAGTGTTGGATACCAATTTAGAAGTTACGGTAAACACCAGTTAAAACTGGATATTAACAACATATTTAGATATGAAATAAGTCAAGCATTGTAAAGTAAGTAATTGCTTCATTGTTTGCAGGATGAAATTCAGATGATAGTTAGCACTGAACAAAGTTTACGAATTAAGAAATATGATCGAATCAACAAATAAGATAATGTTACATAGTATTTGGTATTCGCGCATATGCTACGTATTTAGAATTTATCAAAGTCATCAACATAGTACTTGCTAACTAATTCAAATGTATGGAGTTAACTGTCGTTTGCTACACATTAAGAGTAACTTGTTTTCATTGTGATCGTCTTTTCTTTAACGGTATAAGGATGCTTTGTTTTACTTATAAACAGAGAATATAAGCTCTACCCAAAAGTAGCTAAATAATATCATCTAAATAACAATCGAAACGTATTAAACTAGGCTAACAAATCAACAATATAGGCAAACCTACCAGAAACATTACGTCTATGTCTTTTCGTAAACGATAATCTTGTTCGTCCTAAAATCAATTTAATTGATTTAAACAATAGGAAGGTTAAATTGGAAATAAATGATAACATGCAAGCTAAATATTTATTCGATATTCGTGTTTCACTTTGATTTGATGTTGTTTCCGTGAATAATAATGATGATGAATTGGATTGTTCAATTTTACACGATGACTCAGTAGTCATAATCATCATATCTAATGATGATGATAAAGAAGTTGAAGATGTTAATGGTGAAGTGAATGAATAAAATGGTGGAATCATTTGTGGTTCTTGCATAAATGAATGAACTGGATATTCTAACATCAGATCAGAAAGCTATGCGATGAAAAGAAAAATAACACAGAGAGAGAGAGCAATGTAACAGTAGAATTGTATACGTAATTGATTATGTTCAATGTACAAACCAAGTGTGTAGACAACAATGATAATTGAAATAACTGAAAGAAATTTTGAACTGGTAAATGAGAGTAGTGTATAATAAGGAGAGACAGTTTGAGTTAAAAAAAATTACAAGCGGAATGAATTTCACCAATTAAAGAAATTTATCCCATTTATATGAAGGAAGTGAAAATAAACTATGGTTGGATCACTGTCGGCTTCTATGCCGAGTCAAGCTTCGTGACTTTTTAAGCCAATGAGTTGCATCACCTTTGGGACTTCAGTAGTAGAGTAGTGATGGGCCAACAGATGTTAGTCCTATACAGTTCTCCTTACACACCACAGCACCATATCATAAATAAACCAGCTCTCTGCCTTTCAAACGAAGTGCCTGCCTATATGATATGGTAATCACTCGGATCGAATTCACAACATACTTCCAGGCCACCGAAGTTGATGTTTCAAACTGGTAGCACTAATCTAATTATCATCACTGCGTTTAAACGCACAGTGCAGAAACTCAAATACAATTAGGGATAGTTCTGAAGAAAACGACAGTTTAGCATTTAACTGATGCTGGTCAGGATTGTTACAGTCAGTATCGTTTTTAAAAAAAATTTTAAAAATCATATGAATCACGTAATCACTTTAATAGACACTGAAATGTTTGATTACACAAAAATAAGACACACAGACAGACAGACAGATGCAACGTAGAACTTTGTACGTAAGTACATCAGTTCATGTTGCCATACCACATCAGCACAGAGATATAATTGTCAATTCAAATCCAATAGTAGAAGAGGTAGTAAAGGTATTAGCAGTAATCGGAGAGGTTAGGATTAGAAGATACTATTCAAGAAGTATGATTCAATGAGATAAGTTTAGAAAGTAAAAACTAGAGGGGTTGAAGAATTCAGAAGATTAGGATTTGAGAGAACATAAAGAATAAATGCACCGGCGCCATTGCGAACGATTTTGAGCCATGTCATTCAGGGTATCTAACCATCGATTATTATCATCTCGCGGACCCCAACCAGGTAGTCGACAACTACAGACATGACTCAGTCCACTTGTCAATGACTTCATGGATTTCTGCCATGTTTTGGTTTGGCCGCCCCTAACTTTCTTCCAACCTATTCCTACACTATAAAAACAAAGCTCGACGAGGCAGCCGGTGGTTAGGCATACGCAGCATATGTCCCAACCACCTCAACTGATGAAGTTTCAGCACTTCATCTATCGATCTGCCATTTACTACCTAGCACCCGTTACCTAGTAACAGCGTTTCACAAACAATAAACTTACTTCCATTCGTCGAATATCCACCGAAAGTATAGTAACAAAAAAGAATAATTGTAAAAAGAAATCTGTAGTCAGTCCAACAACTGCAAACAAACAAAATTCTTGCATTGTAGGATGAAATGTAAGAAATCCAAGACCTAGTAATAATAATCCAGCAAAGTAAAGTTTTGTATGTGACCAACTTTCTTTGCTTAAACCTGTGATGGTTGAAAAAACACAATAAAAATAATAATTATTATAATAAAGTGAATTAAATACAACACACATTACATCATTGAATAATTAATTACAAGGAATTTAACTAGTGATCATTTATAAAAGCCAAAGGAATTATTGTAAAGACTAATTTTACATGATTTATAATACTTACTTACTTACCTCTGTTACCCCCAATGTAGCATGGGCCGCCGACTAGTATTCTCCAACCTACTCTATCCTAGTCTTCCCTTTCCAATCCTGTCCAATTTTTGTTCATTCTTCTCATATCTTTCTTTATTTCTCGGCGTAATATATTCCTCGGCCTTCCTCTTTTCCTTTTGCCCTGAGGATTCCATGTGAGGGCTTGTCTTGTGACGCAGTTGAATGCTTTCTGTGGTGTGTGTCCTATCCACTTCCACCGCTTCTTCCTGATTTCCTCCTCCACTAAAATCTGGTTTGTTCTATCCCACAGTAAGTTGTTGCTGATAGTGTCTGGCCAACGAATCCGAAGTATTTTGCGTAGATAACTGTTAATAAACACTTGTATCTTCTGAATGATGGCTTTGTTAGTTCTGCAAGTTTCCGCTCCATACAGTAGAATTGTCTGGACATTTGTATTGGAAATCTTGATTTCGGTGTTGGTTGAGGGTTGTTTGGAGTTCCAGATGTTGTTCAAATGTAGAAATGCAGTTTTTGCTTTGCCAATCCGTGCCCTCACATCTGCATCGGATCCACCTTGATTGTCGATAATGCTGCCAAGATATGTAAAGGTCAGTCAGTCAGTCAGATGCAACGTAGAACTTTGTACATAAGTACATCAGTTCATGTTGCCATACCACATCAGCACAGAGAAGTAATCGTCAATTCAAATCCAATAGTAGAAGAGGTAGTAAGGGAATTAGAAGTAATCGGAGAAGTTAGGATTAGAAGATACTATTCAAGAGGTATGATTAAATGAGAAAAGTTTAGAAAGTCAAAACTAGAGGGGTCGAAGAATCCAGAAGATTAGGATCTGAAAGAACACAAAGAATAAATGCACCGGCGCCATTGCGAACGATTTTGAGCCATGTCATTCAAGGTCTCTAACCATCGATTACTAACATCTCGCGGACCCCAACCAGGTAGTCGACAATTACCGACATGGCTAAGTCCACTAGTCAATGACTTCATGGATTTCTGCTATGTTTTGGTTTGGCC